GCTGCAAGGGGAAATTGGGGTTCCACTTGATTCTTCTCTCATAATTGCTGCTCACCAGGTTGTCCCTACCCTGGAGACCTCTTGCCCTTGGTCTGGGAGCTACATTCAGTTGTTGATTAAGGCAGCTTCCTGCCCAGCTCTGTCTTTTCAATGATATAGAAAGTGTGTATCTTAGCAGGTAATATGCTGTGCATTGTGTCATATAAGCAAAATGAAGTTACAGAGTAAGAGTTTAATTGGAAGGTGATTTCAGAATTATCTTGATTGAACTGTCTTATTCTAATATTCTGGTTATTCAAATGGGAAAAACAAACTCAGCTCAGGCTTCACCTGCTCCAGGTGGCCTTCTCAGATACCCTTGTCCCTTCCAGCCTGGGGCAGGCACCCTTATGTGTGCTCATTGATCCTTACGCCTTTGGCTCATTGTACCTTCCACACTGTGCTGCCATTCTGTTTCTACATTTGACACTCCCACCTGTGAGCAGAGACAGTCTTCACTTTTGGGCCCCTAGCACTTGACACAGTCTCTGGAACAGAGTAGGTTCTTAGTAGATGTTGACTGAGCTGAACTGGTGTAAAAAGATTACGGACCTTTCCCTGAGAGAGAGACTTTTTCATGGGGGTTTCTTGCCAGCCACCTGGGTGTGTCCTACTCCAGCTCACTCCTTATGTTGTTCCCAAGAAATTTCATTCTTAGAAACAAACCAGAGTATCTAAGCCAGAAATCATAAAAGAAAAGATACATAGATTTTGCTAAAGAAATTAAAACCGGCCAGGTATGGTGGCCCATGTCTGTAATTCCAGCACTTCGGGAGGCTAAGGTGGGTGGATCACGAGGTCAAGAAATTGAGATCATCCTGGCCAACATGGTGAAACCCTGTCTCTACTAAAAATACAAAAATGAGATTGGCGTGGTGGGGGGTGCCTGTAGTCCCAGCTACTTGGGAGGCTGAGGCAGGAGAGTGGCTTGAACCTGGGAGGTGGAGGTTGCAGGGAGCAGAGATTGTGCCACTGCATTCCAGCCTGGGGACAGAGCAAGACTCCATCTCAAAGAAAAAAAAAAAGTAAAACTTCTATATTAAAGACATATTTATGCCAAAGTAATGCTAGATGGAGCAAAGATTTAAACATTAAAAAAAAAAAAAAAATCTCAGAAAGGTGGCTGAAAAGATGGCCAAATAGAAACGGCTCTGGTCTGCAGATCCAAGCAAGATCTATGCAGAAAGTGGGTGATTTTTGCATTTCCAATTGAGGTACCTGGCTCATCTCACTGGGACTGGTTAGATAGTGGGTGCAGCCCACAGAGGGCGAGTGGAAACAAGGTGGGGTATTGCCTCACCTGGGAAGTGCAAGGGGTCAGGGACCTCCCTCCCTAGCCAAGGGAAGCTACGAGGGACTGTGGTGCGAGGGACAGTGCTATCCAGCTCAGATAGTACACTTTTCCCATGGTCTTCGTAACCCGCAGACCAGGAGATTCTCCTGGGTGCCTACACCACCAGGGCCCTGGGTTTCAAGCACAAAACTGGGCGGCCATTAGTTGCAGGAGTTTTCTTTCATACTCCAGCGGTTTCTAGAATGCCAGTGAGACGAAACTGTTCACTCCCCTTGAAAAAGGGGTGAAACCAGGGAGACAAGTGGTCTAGCTCAGTAGATCCACTCCCACAGAGCCTAGCAAGCTAAGATCCACTGGCTTGAAATTCTCACTGCCAGCACAGCAGTCTGAAGTCAATCTTGGATGCTCAAGCTTAGTGGGGAGGGGGGAGGTGTCTGCCATTACTGAGGCTTAAGTAGGCGGTTTTCCCTTCACAGTGTAAACAAAGCCACCAGGAAGTTAAAACTGCGCAGAGCCCACCACCACTTGACAAAGCTACTGTAGCCACACTGCCTCTTTAGATTCCTCCTCTCTGGGCAAGGCATATCTGAAAGAAAGGCAGCAGCCCCAGTCAGGGGCTTATAGATAAAACTCCCATCTCCCTGGGATAGACTCCCATCTTCCTGGGGGAACAGGTGGCTGTGGGTGCAGCTTCAGCAGACTTAAATGTTCCTGCCTGCCAGCTCTGAAGAGAGCAGTGGATCTCCCAGCACAGCACCTGAGCTCTGCTGAGGGATAGACTGCCTCCTCATGTGGATCCCTGACTCCTGTGCCTCCTGACTGGGAAACACCTCCCAGCAGGGGTCAACAGACACCTCATACAATTCCAAACAATAGAAAAGAGGGACTCCTCCCTAACTCATTTTATGAGGCCAGCAGCACATCAAAAAGCTCATCCACCATGATCAAATTAGCTTCATCCCTGGGATGCACAGCTGGCCCAACATATGCAAATCAATAAACATAATCCATCACATAAACAGAACCAATAACAAAACCCACCTATTGTCTCAATAGATGCAGAAAAGGCCTTCAATAAAATTCAACACCCAGCCGGGCGCGGTGGCTCAAGCCTGTAATCCCAGCACTTTGGGAGGCTGAGGCGGGTGGATCACGAAGTCAAGAGATCGAGACCATCCTGGTCAACATGGTGAAACCCTGTCTCTACTAAAAATACAAAAAACTAGCTGGGCGTGGTGGCGCATGCCTGTAATCCCAGCTACTCAGGAGGCTGAGGCAGGAGAATTGCCTGAACCCAGGAGGCGGAGGTTGCAGTGAGCCGAGATCGCGCCATTGCACTCCAGCCTGGGTAACAAGAGCGAAACTCCATCTCAAAAAAAAAAAAAAAAAAAAAATTCAACACCCCTCATGCTAAAAACTCTCAATAAACTAGGTATTGATGGAACACATCTCAAAATAATATGAACTACTTATGACAAACCCACAGCCAATATCATACTAAATAAGCAAAAGCTGGAAGCATTCACTTCAAAAACCAGCACAAGACCAAGCATGCCCTCTCTCAACACTCCTATTCAACATAGTATTGGAAGTTCTGGCCAGGGCAATCAGGCAAGAGAAAGAAATAAAGGGTATTCAAATAGGAAGACAGGAAGTCAAATTGTCTCTGTTTGCAGATGACACGGTTGTATATTTAGAAAACCCCATCATCTCAGCCCAAAATCTCCTTAAGCTTATAAGCAACTTCAGCTAAGTCTCAGGATACAAAATCAATGTGCAAAAATCACAAGCATTCCTATACACAAATAACAGACAGAGAGCCAAATCAGGAGTGAAATCCCATTCACAATTGCTACAAAGAGAATAAAATACCTAGGAATACAACTTACAAGGGATGTGAAGGACCTCTTCAAGGAGAACTATAAACCACTGCTCAAGAAAATAAGAGAGGACACAAACAAATGAAGAAACATTCCATGCTCATGGATACAAAGAATCAATATGGTGAAAATGGCCATACTGCCCAAAGTAATTTATAGATTCAATGCTATCCCCATCAACCTATCATTGACTTTCTTCACAGAATTTAAAAAAAGACTTTAAATTTCATATGGAACCAAAAAAGAGCCTGTATAGCCAAGACAATCCTAAGCAAAAAGAACAAAGCTGGAGGCATCATGTTACCTCACTTCAAACTATACTACAAGGCTACAGTAACCAAAATAGCATTGTACTGTTACCTAAGCAGATATATAGACCAATTGAACAGAAAAAAGGCCTTAGAAATAATGCCACACATCTACAACCATCTGATCTTTGACAAACCTGACAAAAACAAGCAATGGGGAAAGGATTCCCTATTTAATAAATGGTGTTGGGAAAACTGGCTAGCCATATGCAGAAAACTGAAGCTGGACTCCTTCCTTACACCTTATACAAAAATTAACTCAAAATGGATTAAAAACTTAAACATAAGACCTAACTCCATTAAAAACCCTAGAAGAAAACCTAGGCAATATCATTCAGGACATAGGCATGGGCAAAGACTTCATGACTAAAACACCAAAAGCAAAGGCAATAAAAGCCAAAATTAATAAATGAAATCTAATTAAACCAAAGAGCTTCTGTACAGCAAAAGAAATTATCATCAGAGTGAACAGGCAACTTACAGAATGGGAGAAAAATTTTGTAATCTATCCATTTGACAAGGGGCTAATATCCAGAATCTACAAGGAACTTAAACAAATATGCAAGAAAAAAACAAACAACTCCATCAAAAAGTGGGCAAAGGATATAAACAGAGACTTCTCAGAAGAAGACATTTATGCAGCCCATAAACATATTTTAAAAAAGCTCATCATCACTGGTCATTAGAGAAATGCAAATCAAAATCACAATGAGATACCATCTCATACCTGTTAGAATGGTGATCATTAAAAAGTCAGGAAACAATAGATGCTGGAGAGGATGTGGAGAAATAAGTACATTTTTACACTGTTGGTGGGAGTGTAAATTAGATCATTCCATCATTGTGGAAGATAGTGTGGCAATTCCTCAAGGATCTAAAACGAGAAATACCATTTGACCCAGTAATTCCATTGCTAGGTATACACCCAAAAGATTATAAATCATTCTACTACAAAGAAACATGCACATGTATGTTTATTCCAGCAGTGTTCACAACAGCAAAGACTTGGGACCAACCCAAATTCCCATCAATGATAGACTGGATAAAGAAAATGTGGCACATATACACCATGGAGTACTATGCAGCCATAAAAAGGATGAGTTCCTGTCCTTTGCAGGGACATGGATGAAGCTGGAAACCATCATTCTCAGTAAACTGACACAGGATCAGAAAACCAAACACTGCATGTTCTCACTCATAAGTGGGTGTTCAACAATGAGAATGCATGGACACAGGGAGGGGAACATCACATACCAGGACCTGTTGTGGGGGTTGGGGACTCAGGGAGGGGTAGCATTAGAAGAAATACCTAATGTAGATGATGAGTTGATGGGTGTAGCAAACTACTATGGCCTGTGTGTACCTATGTAACCAACCTGCATGTTCTGCACATGTATCCCAGAACTTAAAGTATAATAAAAAAAAAAGTTTCAAAAATACTAAAAGAAAATATGTGAATTTTATTTTGACCTCTGAACTTTTTATTGGCCTCCTGCTCCTCAAAGAGTACCCTGCTTCTGCCGGTTTAATGTCTCAGAACTTTGATGTCGTTGGTTTCAGACACCTGTTTGCCGTCTACTGTCTGTTTGGTGCTGGTCTTTTGGATGGTTTGCATGGATTTGCTGCTGTCCAGGGCAACACCAAGATTGAAGTCCTCGCTATCTCCCAGCAGGCAGCATTAGATGGCGATCGCAGCCTCCAGCTTGACCTTGATGTTCAGTAGGGCCTCATACTCCTGGGCCTCATGCTGTCCCTCTGCCCGGGTCTGTGCCAGCTCTGACTCCACATGCGGCAGGATTCCAGTGAGCTGCTCCATCTGCAGGACATAGCGGGCCTCTACCTCCCTCGGGCTGTTCTCCAAGCTGGCCTTCAGATTTGTCATGGAGTCCAGGTCGATCTCCAAGGACTGGACTGTATGTCACAGCTCCGTGAGTGTCATCTCAGCAGCTCCAACTTCAGCAAACTGCATGGTGACCACTGTGGTGCTCTCCTCAATCTGCTGAGACCAGTACTTGTCCAGCTCATCTCGGTTCTTCCGAGCCAGCTCATCATATTGGGCCTGGATGTCTGCCATGATCTTGGTGAGGTCCTGAGATTTGGGGGCATCTACCTCCATGGTCAACCCAGAGCTGGCAATCTGGCTTGTAGGCCTTTTACTTCCTCTTTGTGGTTCTTCATGAAGAGCACCTCCTCCTTGAGAGCCTTGATCTCTGTCTCCAGCTGCAGCCAAGTGACATTGGTGTCATCAATGACCTTGTGGAGCCCATGGTTGTCACTTTCCACAGACTGGCGCATGGCCAGCTCTGTCTCATACTTGACTTTAAAGTCATCAGCAGCAAGACCAGCATTGTTATTCTGCAGAAAGATGTGGGCATTGTCCACAGTATTTGTGAAGATCTAAGCCCTCAGGTCCTTGATGGTCTTAAAGTAATGGCTCCAGTCTCTGACCTGGGGTCCCTTCTTCTCCAGGTGCTCCCGGATTTTGCTCCCCAGCTTCCAGTTCTTGGTCTCCATGCTCCTCACTCTGTCCAGGTAGGAAGCCAGGTGGGCAGTCACACTTTGCATGGTCTCCTTCTCATTCTGGATGCCTCCCATTCCTGCCAGACTCCTCTTTTTCATTCTGGATGCCTTCCATTCCTGCCAGACCCCCGGCCATCTCTGCAGCCAGGCCCCCGGGTCCCATGCTGCCCCAGAAGCTGATGGAGCAGGACACAGAGATCCAGGAAGCAGAGCCCCCGGTGCCTGCATAGACACTGGCCGCACTGCTGACTGGCCAGACACCATAGCTGGGCACCTGGATGGAGCCCAGGGATCAGTAGTTGGTGGAGAAGGTGGAGCAAGTGGTGAAGTTCATACTGTCTGGGGAGGAGAGCGAGAGGACAGGACTCAGGCGTGGCCAACTGTAAATGTTTTTTAAATGTAAGGAGGCACCTTCTAACTATCACTCCAAAACCATAGGCCATGAGGGGTGGCTGACAAATTTGTCTACAAAAAAATTTAATATTTCTGATGGCAAATATAAAACCATAAGCAAAGTCAAAATAACTTCTTTTTTTTTTTTTGAGACTGGGTCTCTCTGTGTTGCCAAGGCTGGAGGGCAATAGCACAGTCATAGCAGTGGCAGCCTCCACCTCCTGGGCTCCAGTGATTCTCCCACCTTAGCTTCCCAAGTAGCTGGGACTACAGGCATACACCACCATGCCTGGCTGGTTTTTTCTTCTTCTTTTTTTTTTTTTTTTGTAGAGACAGAGTCTCATTATGTTGTCCAGGCTGCTCTTGAACTCCTGAGCTCAAGTGATCCTCCCATCTTGACCTCCCAAAGTGCCAGGAATACAGTCCTGAGCCACCACACCTTTATTTTTCTCTAGTAATCTTAAATTTACCTCTGAAAGTCATTTAAACAATCTTTAAGGTAAAAATTCTTTTTGTTCTTTTTGAAGATGTTAAGAGCTCAGAAAAGAGATATTTATGTTAAGCTCAGATCTTTTTAGCAACAGAACCTTCACAATTACTTGTTATCACATATTATACAATCGGTCGCCATGTCAAAATTAGCATAATGTTGTTGACAGATAACATAAAAATACATTTGCTATTTTCTCTGACATTTACTTTAAAAATCCTATACTTTAGTTAAGTGCAAATGTCTGTTAACACAGAATGTCTGTGTCCTTATAGAGACTGAGAAATCTTTGACCATGCTTTTTACTTTTTCAAATAGAAAAACTGTCTCAATTTCAATTATAATTTAAGTTTGTATTTTTTTTTTTTTTTTTTTTTTTTTTTTGAGACGGAGTTTCGCTCTTGTTACCCAGGCTGGAGTGCAATGGCGCGATCTCAGCTCACCGCAACCTCCGCCTCCTGGGTTCAGGCAATTCTTCTGCCTCAGCCTCCTGAGTAGCTGGGATTACAGGCACGCACCACCATGCCCAGCTAACTTTTTGTATTTTTAGTAGAGACGGGGTTTCACCATGTTGACCAGGATGGTCTCGATCTCTTGACCTCGTGATCCACCCGCCTCGGCCTCCCAAAGTGCTGGGATTACAGGCTTGAGCCACCGCGCCCGGCCTTGTATTTTTAATTAATTATAAAAATATGAGCTTTGGAGAATACAGGCTAAGTGTATCAGTTAAAAAAACTACTATTTTTTTAAACTGATATTTTATGTTAAAATATATTTGGTTATAAAAAAACTCAAAAATGTTGTTGTTTCTCAAAACTATGCCTCTATTTACATTATAGGAAAGGTGCATATACAGACAGAGAAAAGTTGAGACTTTGTCTACCAAAACTACGTTGAATCTATAATCAGGTAATTCTCCAATTATTTAGAACTTCACATATAAAGACTTTCTTTGGTTAATCTATAACTGCCACACATAAGGAGAAACTTCTGGGTAGAAGAAACTTTTAAAACAGATTGTGGCCAGGCATGGCGGCTCTCGACTGTAATCCCAGTACTTTGGGAGGCCAAGGTGGGCAGATCACTTGAAGTTAGGAGTTTGAGACCAGACTGGCCAAAATAGCAAAGCCCCGTCTCTACTAAAAGTACAAAAATTAACTGGGTGTAGTGGCATGTTCCTATAATCCCAGCTACTTGGGAGGCTGAGGCATGAGAATTGCTTGAAGCTGGGAGGTGGAGGTTGCAGTGAGCTGAGATTATGGCACTACTGCAGTCCAGCCAGAGCCACAGAGTGAGACTCTCTCAAAATAATAATAATAATAATAATAATAATAATAATAATAATATAAAATAAAGCTGGGCACAGTGGTATGTGCCCGTAGTCTCATCTACTCAGGAGGCTAAGGCAAGGCCAGCCTAGACAACATAGTGAGACCCTGTCTCAAGTAAATAGATAAATAAATAAGATACAAAATAAAACAAGGAGATACAATTGATGATAAGAACCAGCTAGGGGAAGAGTGCGGGGAGATGAGTACCTCCTTATTTTATAGTGGGAGGGTAACCTGGTACAGACACTCTGGAGGCAGTTTTACAGTTTATAGGCTGAATTATAATAGGACAAAACTGCAAACATCCTCAATACAGGATTAGGTTTTTATAAATTGTTCTATCATAAAGACACATGTACACGTATGTTCATTGCAGCACTGTTTACAATAGCAAAGACTTGGAACCAACCCAAATGTCCATCAAGGATAGATTGGATAAAGAAAACGTGGCACATATACACCATGGAATACTATGCAGCCATAAAAAAGGATAAGTTTGTGTCCTTTGCAGGGACGTGGATGAATCTGGAAACCATCACTCTCAGCAAGCTGACACAAGAACAGAAAATCAAACACCACATGTTCTCACTCACAAGTGGGTGTTGAAAAATGAGAACACATGGACAAAGGGAGGAGAACATCACACATTGGGGTCTGTTAGGGGTGGGGGGCTAGGGGAGGCATAACAGGAGAAATACCTAATGTAGGCGACGGGGGGATGGAGGCAGCAAACCACCATAGCGTGTGTATACCTATGTAAAAATCCTGCAAGATCAGCACATGTACCCTGGAACTTAAGGTATAATAAAAAAAATTCACACTTTTAATGTTGTCAACTAGTTTACATAACACAGAACATTGATCTGTTTCCTTAAAATTTGAAAAACAAAAATTACCAGTAAAATTATTTAAAAAATGTATGGCATGTTTACATAATGAAATGTAAACACATGAAAAAACAATATAGATCTCTATTATTCTAGAAATAGATATGCTGTCCATGATAAACGGTTAAATAAAAAGCAGTTTGCAGAGAAATCTATGCACAATGATTGCATCTTTGTAACCATATATATTCACATTTATATCTGTATATGAATAGACAAAGAATAAACAATGTTTAGCAGTGGTTATTTTTGGTTGATAGAATAACAGGCAATTTAAATGTTTATCTTTATCCTTACCTATATTGTCTGGAGTTTTCGTAATGGCCATTAATTTTATAATTAGAAAAAATAAAGTTATGTGGATAAGGTTTGTAAAATAGCAAACAAAAAATACCCCAAAGACAAACAACAAGGGAAAAAAACCCAAAATACAAAAAAGCCAGCTCTGTTGGCACCTGCATCACAGTCTAAAGGATAAAGTTCACATTCTTTTCCTTGATACTAAGGTCTTCTGCAGGTTCTTCCTGCAGATAGGGCTAATTACCTGGTATCATAATCTATTTATAGCCTATAGCCAGAGCCTATGAGCTCACCAGAAAAGAAACTTTCCCCAGTGCCGAGGAGCTTGCAGGCACCCAGTAAAGAATTCTTGAGGCCGGGCGCGGTGGCTCAAGCCTGTAATCCCAGCACTTTGGGAGGCCGAGGCGGGTGGATCACAAGGTCGAGAGATCGAGACCATCCTGGTCAACATGGTGAAACCCCGTCTCTACTAAAAATACAAAACATTAGCTGGGCATGGTGGCATGTGCCTGTAATCCCAGCTACTCAGGAGGCTGAGACAGGAGAATTGCCTGAACCCAGGAGGCGGAGGTTGCAGTGAGCCAAGATTGTGCCATTGCACTCCAGCCTGGGTAACAAGAGCGAAACTCCGTCTCAAAAAAAAAAAAAAAAGAATTATTGAATGACTGTGGTGAGCACAGAGATCAGATGGGCAGGTTGGGGTCAGGTTGTAAGGCATTTAGGCCCAGCTAAGAAGAAGAAAACCAAAACTTTACAACATCTTTGTTTTGGGGGCTGGAGACCCCTCCTGTTACTCTTATCCCTCTTCAAGACTGGCAACAGCAGGTAGAGCAGGAGTGGTCTGACTCATTTGGAGTGTGGCATCTGAGAAATGGTGCAGAAACGGCAGCACTGGCAGGGTTAGGCCTGTGATTCTCATGTCATGTGCTGGGCCCACATCACTGGGGCTAACTCAGCTCAGTTGGTGGCAGTGATAGGTGGGGAAGACCAGGGCTCCTGACCAAGCCAGGCTTCAGCAAAACTTCTATCTTCCCCAGCTGTGGAGCTGATGGTAACCTGCCTCCAACGTAAGTGTGCTCAGAACGCTCTGTGTGGTCAGAGACTAGTTAACCAAGAGGTTGACTTGACTTGACTTTGAATAGGCAAGTATTTATACTGAACTAAGCTCCTGGAAGCCAAGGCCAAGATGTCTAGGATTCTGGGAAAAGGGAATGAACTAATTTTCTATTGCTGCTGTAAAAAAAAAAAAAAAAAAAAAAAAAAAAAAAAAAAAAAAAAAAAAAAACTTGGTGGCTTAAGAAAACAGTTTATCATTTTGTATTTCTGTAGCCCACAAGTCCAACACAAATCTCATAGGGCTAAAAACCAAGGCAGCAGCAGAGCAGCATTCCCTTCTGGAGACTCTATGGGAGAGCCCATGTCCTTGGCTTTTCTACCTTCTAGAGGCCGCCTGCATCCCTTGATTCATGGCCAGTTCCTTCATTGTCAAAGCCAGCTTGTTGCATCTCTGACCATTCTTCTGCAGTCACGTCTGCCTCTGACCACAGTCAGGAAACGTTCTCTGCTTTAAAGGGCCTATGTAATTATACTGGGCCTACCCAAATAATCCTTGATAATCTCCTTGTTAAAAGGTCTTTAACCTTAACTACTCTGCCAAATCCCCTATACCATGTAATGTTTCTGCAGGTTCTGGGGCATTA